TTCTCCTGCCTCAGCCTCCCAAGTAGCTGAGATTACAGGCACCTGCCACCCAGCCCAGCTAATTTTTTTTTTTTTTTTTTTTTGTATTTTTAGTAAAGACGAGGTTTCACCCTTCTGGTCAGGCTGGTATTGAACTCCTGATCTCATGATCCACCCGCCTCAGCCTCCCAAAGTGCTGGGATTAGAGGCGTGAGCCACCGTGCACTATGCTGTAGCCTTAAGCATTCTGCTTTCATTCTCTTGTACTCTGTTAATTTGCTTAATAAACTCTCTTGGTAGACAGTCTGACAGTAAACGTCAAGCCCACTCCTTGGAATGTGCCCTCAAGCCAGCCTCTAATGACATCTGAATAATGTGTGATAAGTATACAATTTTTAATGTATGGCTCAAGCCTCAATATAGAAAAAAGTCAAAAATATATCTATAACCTGAAGACAATTCAGTTTAAAATTGTGTCCTTGTGGCTTTTGTTTATAAACTTATATTGATTTTTTTAAGAAAAAAGACACAGAAACACTAGTTTCCCACAGAGAATTACAGAAGTGCAATGCCCTCTCTCTTGCATCATGAAAATACATTAAGGTATGACAGAACTTAAACAGGTATTAAATTTAACCTCAGCTAGCTCTCCAAAACACTCTCAATTTAGGGTAACACAGGGACTTGAATGTTAACCTGGTCTATTGAGCTCTTAATTAAACGAGCATTTTTCACTCAGAAAGAAAGCCACGCAGCCTCTCAGGTTGTACATGGAGAAAATCCGCTATGAAAAGCCAGCTGAGTCAACTCAACTAATGGCTCTCCTTGCTTTCCATGCCATCCTGGGGCCTGCAGGCATCCGCAAAGCAGTCAGCTCCTAGAACACCTTCTCTGTTGACTCATTTGTGAGTCATCGAATTTTTAGCACAGACATCACGTTGCAATTCTGTTGTTGGGAGCCAGAGACATTCTGTAAGAAATGTCTGCATTTGCAGAGTTGGTTCAGACCTGTGAGTGGCCACAGCAGCGTAACGACGTGCAGGCACGTGTGTTTTTGTTCACATCCTCCGGGGCTCTCACTACTGACTTTATGTAACCGCACATAACACTGCCATTTACAGCTGCAAATACTTCTCTTGCTGAGGTTCCTTAACAAACTGCTACTCTCAAATTAATTTCTGATAGAATCTTTGTTTCTGTGTTTTCCTTATCACCTTGTCACTGATGAATATATAGTAAAACAAGGAAATTCGGGGGTCAGAATCTGGTACTCAGGAAAATTTGAGGGTCTGTCAGAATCTGGTACACCCCCCACCCCCCACATTCTATGGAATAGGATTTTCAGTTGTATTTCCACAAAGTTCCCTGGTTCCTGGAGCATTTCTGTTGATGTATATAAATGCACATAGACTAGTGGTTCTCAACAGGGAATATTTGCCCCCCAGGGGGCATTTGGCAATTTCTGGGCAACTGTTAGTCGCCACAATCAGGGGCCTGCTATTGGCACCTGGTGAGTAGAGGCTGTAGACGCTGCTAAACATCCTACAGGCAAAAGTCATCCCACCACAACAAAGAATTATCTGGCCCAATATGGCCAGAAACCCCGACATCTAAAACAGACATTCCCAAGAAAAATCAGATCACATTCCACATAAATATGGTAATGTTAAGATGGGTAGCATTAATTCCAAAAAATGCCCCTTCAAAGAGCCATTTGAAAAGATGCAGCCTTTCAAGAAGAAACCAATGACTGTCAGGTTCCCAGCTGGGCTTGATACGGTTCCAATGTTTACAGGGTCCCTGTGGATGCTGTACATTTGTAAGATTGGAAATAATAGACTCCTTTGTAGAATAAATACAGCAATTTGTGTCTTAATGGGAGCTCTGACACACACGGCCTCATTTCAGCGGCACCATGCATGAACCTTTGAAACTTCAAATATGGAAGGCAACATTTTGATAAAGGTTTCTAAATTACAACAAAAAAATATTAACTGGGCATTAAATAGACAACATCAGGAGAACGAGGAAAGAAAAAATCAGCATGGTCATAATAAAGTCAGTGTTACTGGAACCCAGATCTGAGGTGAAACAGTATTCTGTTTTGGGAAATGATTGCATATTTCACAGGCTGGAGATAAACTCTAACAGCGCCTTTGTTTTCTTCTTTAGACAGAAAAATAATTATTGCTCTGTGGCAAATGGTCTATAAAATAGGAAGCTGTATTGGTAGCTTTATGGCTCCACATTCCCAATTTTCTTTGCTCTCAAGCTAGGTATTCTGGAGAGGAAAAAAATTAAATCAACTGTCTCCAGTTGGATGTCTCCCTGAGATGACAGATGAGACTCAGTCATAAACATCCACAGCAAAAGCAGACCCATCTGTGTTGAACGCAATTAAAGTGCTGCCAGTAACAACAGCTTAAATAGAAGAGCACTCTTTCTCACCTTTAGAGGTCAATGAAGAAGTCGTGTTTTGGAATAAAAAGAAGAAAAACTATCAAGTCTAACTAAAAGTTTGATTAACAGAAAGAGTGAACTTCACCATGGATGTACGATTATTTATATAGTTTGTGCTGTTCCATAGAACCTCCATGCCCTATGTAGTCAACGCTCGGTATCTGCAGGGGATTGGTTCCAGGACCCCCTGCATACAGAAAAATCTGCTCAAGTTTCTTATGTAAAATTGCACAGTATTTGCATATAACCTATACATATCCTCTTATATACTTTAAATCATCTGTAGATTAGTCATAATATCTAATACAGTGTAAGTGCCAGGTAAATACTTGTTATATCATATTGTTTTTTAATTTATATTATTATATTTTGGTGTTTTTGATCTGTGGATGTTTGAATACATAGATGCAAAACCCCTGGATAGGGAGGAAGACTGTATTCTCCCACTCTGTTCAGGCCAAAATCATCAGTAGTATCAGCAAATATTATGTAGTAGAAAGGAGATGCACAAAGATTTAATTCAGTTGTACAATTTGAAATTTTGATATGATGCTCTTTTAATAGAAATAACTTACAAACTCAAAGAGTTTCCATCTGTCTGATCTTATTTTATCCTCACGGCATGCAGGTGAAGTACAGAAGACAAACATCTTCATCCCATTACACAGATGGGGAAACTGAGTCTCAAGAAAGCTATCTCACTTGTCCAAGGCCACACAAGTTAATGGTGGTGCTAGAACAAGACTCTCTTGGCCCTACACCATGCTGAAGAAGTCACACAGAATATTACAAAAATAAACCTTGTGAAAGAGAAAAGCAGCAGCCCCTGTCATCCAATAGGTGGTCTGGTCCTCTTAGCAAGGCCATGCTGTTCTGTCTTGAACAATTTCACAAAATGTCATCAGACAAGGCCACTCTGTGACTGTGATGGATCAAGACAAAACAAGACCATTCCCTAATTATGTCTAAACATAGACAAAATATGAATATTGTCCAAGCCACAAAATGACTAAACATCCCTCTCCCCCAACTAATATGAGTGACTGTTGCTTCCTTAGAAGCCTGTCCTCCCTACAGATAAAATTTATTAAGATACCAATTACAGAATTCCTCTTCCTGACAGCATTCTCATCCACAGCAAAGCCTCACTTCCTTAAATCCTCCCCAAATCACCTTACACAAAACACAAATCCTCTAGTAAGTTCTTTCTGACATGCTCTGAGATGCCCCACAGCTCCCCATGGTAGGTGTCCTTTCCCGCTGCGTAAGTAATAAACCCAACTTGTTCAACTACCCATGTGTTCCTGGTGGTCTTTGGGTGGAGGCCATTGACAAGCTTATAGTAAGAACCAAAGAAGCCATGATTCACACTTTGCTTTTTAAACCTGGTTACTGACAGCATTTTCCTAAATCATATGAGAGTAAGAACCCAACAATCCTGAGGCAGCCATGTGAAAACCAACAAGAGAAGAGCCCACTCAGTACGCTAAAATTGAATTATAAATAGGAGATCCAATTGACCAAATAAACCTATCTCTATGTTTAGAGACATTTTGATATGTTAAAGTTTTATTGGGCCAATTACCTGATACTTCACAGCTTTAGTTCTATTGTAAGCCTGGCAGTCAGAGAAGGGAGTCAAACAGAAGGGATTGAATGAGGTACAGAAATTCTGATCGGATTTACCTCCCCCAGGTCAATATCCTCATAAAACCTAAAGCTATGTACCAACGCAAAGATACTGGCCGTGTTAATGAAACATTCCAATTCTTTCTGTCAAAGGGTAGAATTTTGAATGATGCAGTAATAATACCTACCAATTTCAAAAGGAATTGCTAAACTTCTAAGAAAACTGAATTATAGACTGTATCTAGATTATATCAAAATATCTAGTTAAATTGCTTTTTAAAACTTTTTTAAAATCTAGCCCATCATCCAGAGATTCTGTCTGCATCACATCAAATTATCCTGAATTTCTGAATTTTTGATTGAATAAAGAAGCCATGTTGTCACCATGAAGCTTTCTTCTTCACAGATGGCTAAATAAGCAGGGTAAATAATCATAAAGATTGTCATGAAAACTGGTGTTAAAATAAGATTGAGATGTTTTTCAAGTAGGACATGTTTGAAAATCAGAAAAATCAGTCAGCTAGATGCTTCAAGTTCTCCAAAAATAAAACCCAAATTATTTTGAATCCAAAAGGAATGTCCTATTGTCCTATTTTAACATCATCACACACCATAATTCCATTTATCCTTCTTAATTTCTGTGCATTTCTGGAAACAAAACCTAGACCCATCAGATCTCTCAGATGCCAGCTGCCTTCAGCACTCCACCAACAATGGCCTCCAAGTTGCATTGCAAAAATCTTCCCAAGCACCCATTATTGAACATTTTCTCATAATCTAAACTGTATCACCTTTTACCTGTGATCCACAGGCTCTACTCAGAAAATCTCTGAGTTTCTACTCTTCAAATTTACTATTAACATTCCAATCTGTCCATATAAAATACAAACAATATGTTTGAGATTTGTTGGAGAAACGCCAATTCTACTCACCACATTTTTTCCTTCATTTTGGGCATCTCGATAATCAGGATTAAGCTAGAAAAACAAAGGAAGATTAGTTTTTCATTGCTATGAAAGGCATGTTAACAAGACCAGTGATCTTCAATTCAATTAATTATTCTATCCTCAACTAAATTTAATATAAAAAGAAGCTAAGAAAGAAACTATCAGGAAATATGACAATTTAAAATATTACCATCAAACCCTAGTTGCAGGAGACAAAAGCTAACATGCCAAGTTCATTGCCTTGGTTTATATCAGAACTGTAGACATCTTTGAAGAAGTAAGAATTGACCATATCACCTCCTCTGGAAAAACATTCAACAGAGTTCACCATTTTACCCTTTGCAACAAGTGCCGTTTACCAATAACTCAGACACAAATTGAAATTTAAAAAAAGGGAAATTGATGATTTGAGATCATGCTTTACATGTTATGCACACAAAGAAAAGGAAAACGAACCAGAGCAAAAAAGGAGCTACGTATCAGGTATGTGAGCAAATACATGAGGACTACTGAAACTAACAAACACATGTCTTCAGGCTTGGATAGTGGCATTTTGGAGCCAATCTGATGACAAAGATGAGTTCTGGATGTGTTGAGTACGGACCCTTGAGTCATGTGGCTTGATTGAAATCCATGACTCCTCACTCCCACTTGTCCTCAGACTCAAAGCGATTCTTAGTTGTTCTGAACTAGTTGATCACTCATAAAGCAATAGATGTATGAGGTGTGTTTCTTGAAACATCAAGTTGTCCAATTGAATTTAATCATTTTAATGTGACTCAACTGGTGTACACAATGCACAATCCCAGTGAAGTTATCATTTAAAACGTAAGGTCAGGAGTCTTCCTCATAATACCATTTATCTAGCAGCTCTGAGAATTGCCCCTTCCAACTTATCACTAAATACCAATGAGGGTTCTGAAAAAACCAAAAGCAAAGCAAAATGAAAGGAAGAAACTCCCAATCTCATTAAGAACTAAGGCTGAAAAAAAAAACGAAATTCCAAATCTTCAAAGACCTGATGCTAATTATAAAGTAGATAGTTCTTGGGGACAGGCAGGTAATGACCCGGTTTTTATCATGTGGCAAACTTCAACGTCTCTTTAAGCTAGTGGCCATGTACACAAAGATAAGAAGATACTGAGTCAGTTTGAACGCTGACGTAGAAAACCAGAGAATTTACCGACCAAAAACCTATAGAGAAGGGTTTCTCTGTCACTGGCAAGCTGCCGTGAAATTATGCAGAAACCTGCTTCCCTAGTCTGCTACCTGTCTCTGTCTTTACATGACCTAAGAGATGCCCAGAAAACAAGTGGGCAGAAAATGGAGGGAAAAGATGATGGCCAAGGCCTTTCTGGGAAGCATGGTGTGAAGAGAGAAAAGGAATGCTGTATGCTGGAACAACATTGCATGATGATACAGAAACAGCAAAGGGGTAGGACACAGAAGCAAAGCAACTGCTGTTGAGCCCGGGTGTGTAGAGTCCATAGAATCCACAGAGTCCATGTCTGCTCAATCTGGGAACTGCATTGCAAGTGCACCCATCAGCCAGTCCTGCAGCTGAACATTTAGAAAGAGGATTGAATTGTCACGCTAGAGAATTTAAAAATGGAACGAAAGGACAATCCACTCAACCCTCTGGTTCTGCGCAGAGCTCACTCATCTGAGGATAACAAGGAAAGAAGAAAGGAAGGAAAAAACAAAATAGGACTGATGGAACACTAAGTTAGAACAAGGGAAATTCCTTCTCAGAGTCTCTCTCAACATTTCCTATGATATGATGCAAAACGAATTTTCAGGAAATGGTTTGGCATTCTCAGGAAAGTACAAATAAACATGACCTCTACATAAAGGCAACAAAATAACATAAAGAGTTAAAATGATAGTGTATTGCCGGGAGTGGTGTCTCATGCCTTTAATCCCAGCACTTTGGGAGGCCAAGGTGGGTGGATCACCTAAGATCAGGAGTTCGAGATCATCCTGGTCAACATGGTAAAACCCCGTCTCTACTAAAAATACAAAAATTAGCTGGGCATGGTGGCGGACACCTGTGATTCCAGCTACTTGGGAGGCTGAGGCATGATAATTGCTTGTACCCAGGAAGCAGATGTTGCAGTGAGCTGAGATTGCGCCATTGCACTCCAGCCTGGATGATGAAGTAGACATTGTCTCAAAATAATTATAATAATAATATATACATAATAAAATAATAATATAAATAATACAAAATAAGAGAAGTTAAGGAAGATTTCAATATACATGAAAACATAAATACAAAATTAAAATTCACATTAGCACTAATAGAAAGCATAGTTACAGAAAATCAGCAATGCAGAGGATGAGCAGCTGAGTGGCTACCCCTCCATACAGAAGGAAGGTATCCAGAAATGAGAATTAGGAAAAAGAAAATGGTCACAGACAACCAGAGAAGGGACAACAACTAACGGGAGACCATTAGACCTCTCAAAATGAAGAGAGAATAAGTGGAACACAAGTAATAATCAAAGATAATAGAAGATAAAAACCTTTCCTCAGCTGAAGAAAGAATTGTGTATGCAGAGGTTACCCTATCCGTGGAAATCAACCACAAAAGATTGACACATTCATTTCAAGATGATAAGGGGAAAAGGCAGAGAAAACAGTGGTAGGGACGTAAAACAGAGCCAGAAATTAGGCTTTTAAAAGCATGTCATGTAAGAGAAGAATGATAAACTAAATATGGTATATTCAAACGATGGAGTACTACTCAGCAATGAACATGACGAGCTTCTCATGCAAGCAACAAGAATGAATCTCAAAAACGTTAAGTAGAGGAAGGCACACACAAGAAACAACATACTGCATGATTCCATTTAAATGAAATAAACAAACAAAACTACACTATGGTGAAACAAATCAGAAAATGAGTAGGGGTATGAGGGAAGGAAGTAAGGATGGAAAGCAGTACCCAGCCCAAGAGTCTCATGACAGCCGTCTTTCAGTTTTCAGAACTGACACACAAGGAGGGTAAAAAGATACAGGTCACCTGTTAATCCTGGGACAGCTATTGAGGGGACTTGAGGCTGGCCTTTGTCTACAGAGACCCAGACTTTCCCTCAGACTCCTTAAGTTCCCTTCAATTATGAGTAACAGAATTAGTTCCAAGAATCCAAGAGTGAAAGGTAGAGGGCAAAGAGTGAGTTAACTGGCCTCCTTTCTACTGATTAAAGAAAACGTTTTCACTGGATAGTAAAGAAAATTGTAGCACAGTGTTCAGAAGAAGTTTATTCATCTATTTTAGTCAAGTTTCACCACAGCTTTTAAAAACTGTTTTCTGTTTGAAAAATTTCAACTTTTCTTTTAAATTAAAAAAAATCCATACTAAAATTTTAGCTAAATTATATCCAAATGATACGCAACATGTTCAACCAAGGATGTACCTTATGGCCCAAGTTTTCACTCAGTACACATTAGAATGGTTATTACAGATACTTTAAATTCATGCTGGAAACCATGATATATCCCTCAGTAAAACACACACAAAAACAGGAATTAATGTACCTACATCAAACACAAAATAAAATAATTTATGCTCTCTGAAACTTAGATCATATATTCTACCCCAAAGACAATGTTACCTTCTAAAATCAGTCTTTACGTATTTCCCCCGCTTAGGATTACCCGTCCCTGACTGGCTGTCTGGGGAAGTGAATTCCAGTCTCTGCTCTATAAGGAAACACCAGCGTCTTTAGGGAAGGTGGCCTAATGCCCATGGAACTCAGTGTCCTCATCTGCAAAATGAGAAAAAGACTATGACTAAACCATGACTCTATGTCAATAAATTTTACATATTCATATCTTTGGCAGCAAAACTACAGATGGTGCCAATCAGTTAGATTTTGCCTCATCTGTGTCTCTCAGGCTGCAATATGATTTTTTAAATAATTAACATAGAGCGATCACCTCAGTAAACTCAATAAAGTATAAATAATAACAATAATGATGAGGAAGAAAAGGAAGAGGAGAAGGGAAAGGAGGAGAAAAAGCCACCCAAATAAATTCAGGGCCATATAAATTTACTAACATTAACTATTAAAGGCCAAATAAATATATGCTTTAAATTATACTGCTGCTTCCCATCTCTAAATAGGATAATAGCTGTAATTATCAAACAGACTATAAGATGAATAGAAAAAAATTACTTTTTAAAGAAGCAGGAAAAAAACATGGTCATATGGAGGTCTTTTAGGACTCAAAGTCTTTATGTTAAAAAAATAAATTATAAATTTGGCATTGGAGAGCTAATATGCCATTCAATCATTTATTCAATAAATATTAATAGAGCATCTATAATGGGCAAAGCTTTGCGGCATATGGTATTTTAGCAAAGACAAAGAGAATATGGTCCCTGACCATAAGACATTACAACCTAGGAGGGAAAATAAGACATAAATACAGTCAGCTGAAATACAAAATAAAATGTGACAAGGGACATAAGACAGGAATGAATAATTTATAAATAATATAGGTCAGAGGAAGGAGGGCTCTGTGGTGGGCAAATTTATTCACAAATTATTCATGGAGAAGGTAGCATTTGAGATAAGCCTTGAAGGACAGGTAGAATTTTAACTGGCAGAGCAGGAACGAGGGAGTGAAGAAGGCAGCAAGGCTGGAGGGGCCACTGCCATATAGATGAGAAAAATGAGACTTCTATAGAGAATACCTATCGGTGTCACTTATGAAATACTTTTTTATACTCTCTTAAAGGTTAATTCATTTAACCTTACAATTATACTATAAGACAAGATTCTTAACACAGTTTACAGATGAGGCACTTGGAGCACATCAACTGAAGTGCTTTATGCAAAGTCACACCACTGGGGAGTGGCAGGGTGGGCAAGCACACGTCTAAGGGCTCCAAAGCCACATCTTTCAGCTCCTGTAGCATGCTGCTTCCCTCCTGCCTCCATAAAGCGGAGAGGTGTGATGCAAGCTGGGAAGGAGGGTCAGCCCAGACCATCCAGGCCTTTAAACCACAGGCCAGAGAGTTT